CGCCCTGCTGCTCCCTCGCGCGCAGCCTGTCCTCCGCCGCACGCCCACCAGCAACAGCCTCTACACCGACAAGAAGAAGCCCTGCTTCTATCTCTGCAACCACCGCTCGTGGGCCGACTTCACCCTGGACTCGCTGTTGACCGCCGGCGGTACCTATATCTCGCGCTACGGGGTCATCCTGGGTGTCCCCACGCCGATTCTTTACAGCTACCTGGCTGGTGCGTGTGTCACTGAGATTGTGCCGCGCCGGGCATTCCCTTCCTCGGTGTTTGCTGACCCCTCGACCCGCTGACCCATCGGCCCAGGCTCCATCATCCTGTTCAACCGCCGCCCGGGAATCGACCGGAACTGGCTGACCAACCATGTCAAGGCCAACTGGGACCTGCACCCGGAGTCCGGCATCATCGTCTACCCCGAGGGCACCCGTAACCTGCGCAACCACTCGCTGCCGCTGAAGCGTGGCCTGCTGGAGTCGGCCTTCCGCCTGGGCGCCCCTTGCCAGGTGGTCATTGCCATTGGCAAGGATCGTGTACGTCCGCACATCTCTGCGCACATGCATGCCCTCCGGCGTTCCTGTCCACCGGTGGATCGGCACATGTGCTGTCACTCGCATCTGCATTTGCATTTGCATTTGCATTTGCATTTGCATTTGCACTTGCATTTGCACTTACACACACACACACACACACTTACCCCCTCCCCCCCGCCCCCCACGCTCAATCGTTCAATGGACACTGACTTTTCCCGCCTTCCCCCGGCCGATTGCAGCTCTTCAACGAGAAGGCCCTCACCTTCCACCCGGGCTCGCAGATCACCGTGCACTACGGCCCGGTCCTGGACCCGACCCCCTTCGCTGACCCGGCCTTCGAGCCGCCCATGGCCAGTGGCGATGAGGAGAAGACCATGGAGCGCCGGCGCCTGGAGGCCTGGTATGCCCATGTCCAGCAGGCCTGGGACGAATGCTGGGACGTGGCCCAGAAGACCGATGACATTGATGCGGAGTTCTTCGCCAAGCAGGCCAAGGCCGCCCCCCGGCAGAGCGCCGACCGCGACGACATGCCGCCCGGCGGGTCGAAGCCCTTCACCGGCCCCTTCTACCAGCCGATCACCGACAACCTCCGTCGGTGGGTGTCGCCCGTCCCCGCCCGGGCCAATGCCTGGCGCGCGGTCCTCCTCGGCGCCGTGGGCCTTGGATATGCTCTCTGGTTCCGCTGAGCGGGCAGTCCCCTTTTGTGTTGGCTCCCCCCTCCCCCCCCCCTCTCAAAGGGCCCATGTCTCCTCCTCGGTGCGTGCGCCTCACTCGGCCGGTGTCTTCAACCGTCCTCGGTGTGCCCTCCAAGTCCGGGCCACCGGCGGGTCGGCCGTTCGCCCCCAGCGCGATCTGCTTGCGCACATGCACATAGAAAAGGCGGAGCCCTGTACCCCCCCCCCGCCCCCCGCCCCCCATGGCGAAGTCTCGGCACGGGTCCGAGAGGTGGAGCCCGGCAAGACACAGGCCACTGGGCGAGGAGGCAAAAAATGGCAACCAAAAATGCAATACACGCGCATTCTCCCCGGTGGTCTGTCCGCCCATGGGCATGTGGATCCTCGCAAGAGAGAGAGAGAGAGAGAGAGAGAGGCAGAAGCTGATGTGTGTATCCCTGCTGGGCGGTGGGGCGTTGTTATTGTTTTCCTGCCTCCCAAGGGGCGGGAGGTGGGACCTGGCACCAGGCTGGCACCAGTCACCGAGGGCAAGGAGGGGGGCCAGACAGGCAGGCGAGCGAGGGGGGGGGGGGGGGGAGCAGAGCAGGCAGCCAAATGGCCAGGCGTTTACGCCAGCGCCGGGTGCACTCCTCACCGGGGTGGCATCATCTGGCCCTGGTGGTGGTGGTGGTGGTGATGGTGCAAGTGGTGATGGTGCGGGTGCTGGTGGTGCGGATGCCCGAGGGCCTGGCCCATCGGCTGCATCGGCACGCCGCCGGCGCCGGCCCCATACGGAGACCGGCCCTGGGCGGCAGCCTGGGCGGCGGTCTGGAACTCCCGGTCGCTGACGAGCGGCACCACCGCGGTGTCCACCAAATCCACAATGATGCCCATGTTGGCCCACTGGGCCGCGATGACGGTCACCACGAAGAGCGGCGGCCGGGAGGAGCCGGAAGTGGCCCCGGCGCCGGAGCTGGGGCTGCTGCCGGGTCCGGGCTTCTCGGCGGCCAAGCCGGCCGGAGTGGCGCCGACCGGCGGGGCCGCCGGCCGGGGGGGCTGCACGACGCGCTGGGCAATTTGCATGCCGCCCCAGGGCCCGGCCCGATCGGCCCCGAGGTCCACCTCGGCCGCGGCCACAGCGGCTGTCGAATGGCCGGCCGGCGAGAAATCCCCCCCGGCCGAGGGGATCTCCGGCGGCTGGGCCGTGGCGCCCAGCTGCGCCGGGTCCATGGCCGACGGCGGTGGCCGCGGGGAGCGCGTGAATGCAAACAGCCAGGAGCAAGTCCCGGCGATCTTGGCCGGCAGGCGATGGATGTACTCGGCCGATGAGGCGGCCGCCGTGGCCAGGGCCGAGGAGGCGGTCGCCGGGTCCACGGCCAGCGTATTTTTCGAGGAGTTCGTTTGCCGGGGGTCGGTGGCTGGGCAGTGGAAGGGGGGGCGG